TGACATATGCACATCTCCACCAGGGGCTAGTTTAACCTAGCTACCCTGCTCAGGGCAAGAAACTTTTCATAGCCTTCAACAGCAGCTCTAGGTCAACATAAGTTTTAAGTGTAGACCATGCTAATGCCTAACAGTAAGATGTGATGAGAAAGACAGGTCTAAAGGAACGGTAAAACCAGATGAACAACATAGGGTCCACATCAAAAGATGAATCTGCCATTTGTTCATTAAGTAAATGATACTGTCTGAAATAGAAAAAATGTCAAGATCAAAGCAAAGTATGAATTGAAAACGATGCCTGATCTGTACATGATTAATTATAAATCCTTCTGAAGTCTGCTGATGTGACCCATGTGCTGACCCAAGTAATTAAATCAAGTTTCCCTGACTAGAAGGGGAACTGTGAATAAAAGTTACTGTTTCAACCACAGACTATGTTGCTACATCAAAGGGAGAGCCAGATTACAATCCTGAGCCTCTACCTTTAATTAGGATGAAATCCACAGAGCAAAGGGCTTTTCCACCAGTAAGACTCATCTTAAGTATGTGAGTGGGGCTGATGCTTAGTACAGACCTGCAACACAGAAATGAAGTTCACCCACAAAAAGTGAGACATAAAAGGAGTGAGACAACGAGGTTGTATTATTCACTCCTTTCTCACCCAGCTGAAATGAAGTGACAATGTGCTAAAGAAGAAGGAGCATGCTGATGACAAGGTGTACTTGACCCACATTATCATTCAGTGGTTGGTTTCTCAGTTATCAAACAATGGTCATTCTTTAAAGAGGCAGGAAACACACACAAGTATGCAGTCAAACCTGTTTGTTTTTACTGTTTTTCTGCGGTATAGTATTTAGAATATTAAATAGGAGAAAAAGGAGGCACACAACTACCCAAGCAGGCCTAAAACAAATCAGTACATTTTCTTCTCAGAAGTCAATACCTAGACCAGGTATTGGTCCGCAGCCTGTTTGTTAGTGGCCCACGGTGTGGTTTGGGTTTATGCAGCACTCAACACAGCCGTGGGAATATGGTCTCCACTGGGAACATGATTCACAAGGGCAAAGCATCTTTGAGGCAGAATAAGCATTAAAAGACACAAGCAGATGACTGGCTGGAAGAGACAGGTACACGGTGTCGGTGTTTCTAGCCCCCAGGGAGGAGATGCCAGGATCACCAGGCCTTTGTGGGAAGTGCTTTGTATTCATGCCCGTCAGTGTGAAAGAAGCTATTTGCATGTATATGCAACCACACTTAAGTTGCGGCCCTCAGCATGTGCTGAGAGTATCTTTGTGGCCCCTGGGGCTTCCAAAGTTGAGTAGCCCTGCCATAGACCTATTGCAATATTAGTAATCAGAGGGTATGTGCAATGAATTTCAGGTGAGGGAGATCTTCTCCCTTCTGGTTCTGCACAGCATTGTTCCTACCTGTTCTGCTGCTCACTTCCTCATAAGACTGATATTCTATTAACTAGCCAATTAGCCCGTCATAAGACAGGATTTTCAGGTCTCTCTTCCACGTTGGTCTTCTCTCCTGAGCCCCCCGTCTCTCGCGCCGTCTCTCTCTCTCTCAGCCCTCCTCTGCCTCCTGTCTTTCTCTCTCTCTCTCTCTCTCTCTCTCTTCTCCTCCCCCTCCTGCCTCTCACTCAGGGGAGCGCGGAGCCCAAATGGTCGCTTGTGCCACTTGCTCCCATGTGGCGGCCTGGCTGAGCGGCGCAGAAGTCAGCCAAGCGCCACGGCGGGAGGCGAAAGGGGGCAGGGCAGTGACGTTCACAGCCAGGGGGTGGGGCCTGGAGCCACTGTCACGCTGCACGTCCCTGCTCCCCCCTTCCCTTTCCGCCGTGGCGCTCGGCTGACTTCTGCGCCGCTCAGCCGGGCCACTGCGGGAAAGCAAGCGGAGCAAGTGGCCGTTTGGGTTCCCCTGCAGTGGCCCGGCTGAGAGGTGCAGAAGTCAGCTGAGCACCATGGCGGGAGATGAAGGGGGGGTGGGCAGTGACAGAGGGAACAGCCAGCATTTCAGGCAACAGCACCGCCCAGAGGGAACAGCCAGCATTTCAGGCAACAGCGCCGCCCAGAGGGAACAGCCAGCATTTCAGCGTTACAGACTCTCAGTCACTGGGCTACTATATATATGATTCCTCTTTTGCATCTCTCATTCATTCTCAAGCAAATTGATCACTCTATTCATGTAAGCTTTCACCAACACCCCTCATGCATATTGAGCATTTTCCCTATTCTCAGGAGCCGACTGACCCTTCTTCTCTCTTTCTCTGAGTGCGACCAACCCCCGCCTTCCATGACCATTGTTATCCTCAATCCACCTCTATCTCGGGGAATATATAAAGTTTTAAAACAGATCAAATATATTAAAATGGCTAAATAATTTAACAGGACAAGTTCCCACACTACACATACACCTCCATGAGCTACAGCCAAAAAAATCTCAACTGTTATTAAAATGCTCAGTTGAACAGCTGCATCTTACATCATGTACTAAAGGTCATCAAAGTCCAGCTGTGGCTAACCATCAGAGGGAATGAATTCCAACTCTTTCTTCTGAAAATGATGACAGGCCATCTCCAGGAACTCTTTTCTGGGGACAGTCTGCAACAAGCCATACAACAAGCTGCTGTCACAAAGCCTGCATCTCCACTGCCCTACTCTTTGTGCAATCTACACAGCAAGTGTGTACAAAATTCTGCCACTGCCTGATAGTAGCATCTTACATTCATTTTTGAACCATACAGAGTGAGCAGCAGTGTAGAGTTAAGCCCACAGTCTGTGTCTGGCATATTCCAGTACTGTAAAGAGAGACCACTTTCTGACACATCTTCAACATACACTTCTTTACTCATAGACCAACACACACAGAGATTTGTTTTTTAGATTAATTTCCCCCTTCGCTAAAGAGTCTTACAACTATAACAACATTTAATACCATGCTAATGACCTTAAATTTACCTTCATTTTACTGATTTGACTTCACTTTTTTCAGGATAAATTTCAAAAGGCATCTCCTGTCAAGGCTGGCCTTGATATATGTTGGGTAGGGTGATTTTTTTTTCCCGTGGTCAAAATCTTCCATTACATTTTTTGATGCTTGGAAAGAAAAAACTCTCTTTTGTTTCTGACCATTTTTTTCATTTTGTTTTTTGTGTTCAATTGAAAGTCTTTTATTTTCTGAAGAAAATTTAATTTTCCATGGAAAACAAATACTTTTCATGATAAAAAGTTTCAGTGGGGTGGCCGAGTTGTTAGTCTGTAATTTTCAAAATGAGCAGTCCTGTGGCATCTTAGTGACTAACCAATACTATATATACACACCATATAGAATCATGTACTTTCAGGGTCAAAACTCACTTCGTCAGATGAGCTGGAAAGGAATAAGAGGAACCCAGAAATTTACAACTAAAAAGAAGGGAAAGAAGGGAAAAATGTACCTTTGTTTAATCTAAATCCCAGTTTTCTGTTAAAAACTTGTTTTGACAGAATTTTCAACCAGCCCTAATCTTGGGGAACTGGAATAGCAATGCTTTGCTCCCTTTCTTCCTCCCCCACTACAAAAATAATTATTCCTGCTCACTAAAAATCACAACACTCTGCACAAGGGCAGCCCAAAGGATTGGAGTGACCCAGTGATTCCTTAAGGCACTCCAACATCAAACTGACTATGAAAAGACAGATGGTGAGGGATCTTAATTTTATGTCTAGGTGTCTGCTGCTGATGTGGAGGCTAACTGCAAGTGCTGGACACCATGCACAGTCACCAATGTTTAGAAAACTTTAACAAGAAGTTCCCAAATAAACTGGAATGTGGGAAGCAAGAGGCACCAGAACCCTGTATGCACATGCTGCTGACTATTAACACTCCTGTTTTATAGTAGGATTTCTAAGTACTAAATAAGTCTCCCAACTCCTGTTTTGGAGTCAGTATTATTTCAGTGTTTGACAGATGTAGATGCTGAGATTAAGAGATTAAAGAGCTTGACTAAGGCCACAGAGAGTCAGTGTCAGAGCTTGGATTAGAATGAGTTCCATGTGCTCATTCCTGTATTTAGCCCACAAAGCTAGGCTGCCACGGGGGCTGAAGGAACATCTGTGTACATTGTGCAGTATTTGCTTGTGATTTACTATTGGAGCAGGGAAAAATTTGAGAAAATGCACCAGCTGGACAGAGAGAGAAACAAAGAAACGAGAGGTGAGTAAACATGGCTGAACAAAAGTAAACATCAGAGAGAAAGCTTTACATTATAAGGACTCCTTAGAATTCACTGCCCACAAATCTGAAGTAATGGTTTTAACTTTCAATGCACCGAGAGAATGAAAATTGTGGCTCCCTGAACCAATCCAGGGTGTGAAGTCATGAAGTCCCCTTGTATATAAACAAAGAAACGAGAGGTGAGTAAACATGGCTGAACAAAAGTAAACATCAGAGAGAAAGCTTTACATTATAAGGACTCCTTAGAATTCACTGCCCACAAATCTGAAGTAATGGTTTTAACTTTCAATGCACCGAGAGAATGAAAATTGTGGCTCCCTGAACCAATCCAGGGTGTGAAGTCATGAAGTCCCCTTGTATATTGTTGAT